TCCGAAGAGCACGTCCACATTACTTTATGACACAGGTGTGTGTGGGGAGAATAAGAGTATGAAAAGTTTCAAGAACTCTCCCACACACTGTCCTACCTGCAAAAATGTGTGTGTGTTTGCCTTCAAATGGATTAGCAATGAAACTTCTCAAACACGTTAAAAACGATACCTATGATGATCTTAAAGTTGTTTAGAAACTGAACCATTCTATACTTTATTTTTTGTTAATCTGAAGATATTCTTTTTCTTTTTTTCTTTCTCATTAGTTCATACAGTATAGAAGTTTCAGACACTCAACAACACAATTCAATACTGCTATTGTTTGGGTAAAATTCTGTTTTTATTAGTTTATCTCATTCTGCACTATACAGTTTGTCTGGAGGGCTTAATAAATCCTCTACATTATTACACACAAACAATTGTCTGTCTTCCCATGTGTGGAGAGATTGTCTATTTACAATACTAATTCATATTTAAGCTAAACATCTTTTGGTTGCTGAACTCATTTGACATCGAAGCTCCAAGCACAATGTAGAACTTTTTTTTATCATAACACAATCTCAATTTAAATCAGTAAATCTAAGATAAAGTGAAGCATTGTTGGAACAGCTGGTCCACAAGGATGTGGACCACATATCTTTGTTGAATTTGTCAGTCATTTAAATGTGAAAACAGTCATCAAATATGAAAGCATAGGAATATCTTTAAAAGAATGACATTTTTCGTGAGGCAACACCCTTAAGAATCAATGGCACAGCACAAAGAAAAGCAACTGTGAACCACATTTTCTGAATAGATAAAATATGTTGCATGTCATTTAGACAGCAGAAGGCCTTCAATCTATATACATTTGTTTCCTCTTCAGTCATTTGTTTCCTCCTGTGGCACAACATAACAACACTATACCTTTCCTCTGGTAGGGTTTTTGAGCAATACAAAAACTAAAAGACTATTTTGCAGTTATCAAGATTTCTGGCTCGTCATTTCCAGTGAATTATTTTCCCTTTTAACAAGATGTTTTTGTTAATCTATCCTTCAGCTGTCTTGCTCAGTAATTGACTCTTCTAACTCCAAGCAGACAAGTGTTTGTGAACTCTAATTTATAAAGGTAAAGCAGGTCATAGCCTTATCATCAGCCTGAAGTGTATTACATTGATGGCTCACTTTTACAAGACAACTTTATCTGTCAAAACAAAACTGATGCGAGTAGAAAACAGTAGTTCTGACTCTGACAGCTTCAATTACAGACTGTCACTGCCAGATTTAACACCCACTTACTTTGCATTTAACTCTGTGTAAAGAAAAACACTGTCTTAAAAAAACCTATTAAATTAGTATAGTAGATCTTGCACATCAACATGTCACACAACAGTGACTTTCCCTTAAACAAATGACAAGCTCTTACCTTTATGTCTGCACGCTTGAATCTTATCATTGTCTGCTGTCCCATTAAAGTCAACAATGGCTCTGGCCTCCATGTGGTAAAACTAAAAAATAATTTTAGATGTGAGCAAACACAGTACGAGGGAGCCCTCTGAGGATTGGATCAGTTTTTGTTTCACAAACAACACTAATCTGTCCACCACATGGTGTATGCGTCACTGAGAAAACGAAAAACGGAACAGAACGGAAAAAACTCCACGGTAACTTGTTCATTAGTTTTGAATTAAAGAGGCTAGTTTTAGCTGCACTCAGTGACCTGTGCTGGCGTTATCACAGTGTTTATATAAGTTAACACCGGTTACCGCGCCCAGGGAACACAATTTAGGAAGTAAATGTGACAGGTGGAGGAAGGACACGCTGTGATTGGCGCCTCCTTCAGCCAATTACCGTGGCCCTTAGTAAGGCAAGAGTGAGAATACCTATTAGTTTAAAAGGGAAAGGTTATGTGAGTTTCGACTCAGTCTCTGAGTGTGTGTCATTAGTTAGCTGATAAAATGTTAGGGATAAATACCTTGACATATTGACTACAAGAGCTTGAATCAAACAAGCAACCTTGTATTTGAAAGATTAACTGACATAGCAACAGTCGCACGTGATATATAAGTGGTGTGGCTGAGTACTGTAAAGGGTTCATGAATAGAGGGGACTTGAATGTGAAATAAGAACAAGAAAATAAAAGTCTAAATGCATGAAAAAGCAGCAGAATATTTGAACTTTAGAACTAAAAGCATACGTCACCAATAATGTCTAAAATATGTGGAACATGTTGAAGTCAGTATGAAGTCTCCATCAGACGGAAAAGAATAGGCTGAGACAGTCTGTTAAACTCCAGTGACCACGTCATTAGTCTGCTGCTCTAATTATGTCAATTGGAGTTATGATATCATCGTGTTCCATGACACAGGTGTTTATATTTGAGCTAACGACGTGTCCAGAGATCAAAGGTTTCCATGGTGATTAGTGAGAGGAAAGCATTTTCATTGTTCTGAATGAGAGATAAACCTGTTACATGTGAACGTTTTGTTGAAGAACCGTAACAGATATCGGTGAAATTTCAAAGCGTGAAGCATGTCAAGGAACTTGAGCATCTGAAGTGTACTTTCTGTGTACTTTCGGGTTAATAATGTGGCCTTTTTGGCAGATTAACTAAAGGTGTGCGGCTGCTGTGGTGGGGAAAGGTGAGGCTGAATTTACAATGGGTTTTAATGGAGACATGTTGAAAGTTTTTGTCACTTCATGCCCTCAAGAGGCATTTTGTTTAATTATTTTGCTTAATTTTTTTTTTTCTTTCAAGCTACGAGATGTTTTCCGACGTTTGTCATGAAGAATTATGTCTCAGGAATGTAGGGTTTGGGAATTATGGCAGGTTTAAAAGAAAATATGAAGGCAAAATTAAATCTGTCCTCCACTGTGACATCACGCGCTCTAAAATCTGAAGAAGGCCTCTTTACCAAGGTCTGAACAATGTTTAATATCTGTAAAAGTAAGAATCAGATTTAAAAGTTGTGTTACACGAATAATGTCAGAAAGATGTGTGACATTTTAAAGTTAGAATGAGGTTTCTGAGTGAAAGTATGAAGGAGCAGTTAGCAGTTGAAGAAGGAGCAGTTAGCAGTTGAAGTTGCATGAAGATTGTTGAAGTCTGAAGAGTTCTCCATTGACTTCCATGTTAAAAATTGGATGTTTCTCTGAAATTATGAAATGTATGAATGATAAAAGTAATAGCCATTGATTCCCGACCGAGCTGAACGTTTTGAATGTCGAACGGAGTTTCTGCGATGTTCAATGTAGGAGAAGAAGCAGCGCAAAATAACCCGGCGGAATAATAAAGAATTTCGTGCGTAGCATAACAGATAGTTGGAATGCTGTGTCAGCATTCCCACTAAATTAGAAAGGAAGTGAGACCTTCTTACAAGACTTCATACAGCTTGGCTTACTGATATTGTGTGGGCTGTTGAAGGGCACTAAGCCAAATGCAGGAATTATATGCAGTGATCTGCAGAACTTTCTATAACAGTAAATGATGGGAAAAATCGTGATATTGACAACATTAATAAATACATTTGAAAAGTGCGCTTAATGTTTGAGAAGTGAATATCAAGTAAAGCAATTCCATTTTCACCTCTGTGCAGTTCACCAGATCTTATAAAGTTATGCAAATTTGGCAGAAGGCATGAAAGAATCAGAAAGATGACATGTCATACCGTTTGATACAGTCATCTCTGAAATTGTCATGGGGGTTTAGTGAAAATAGCAAGGATGAGATTAGGTTATTGTCCTGGCTCAGCAGGGAGCTTGTTCATGAGATTCTTCTCTTTTGATCTGAAGTTTATTCAGCTGACAATAGGCTGTCTAGCATCTTTCAGAACAGGGAAAGTGTTTAATTTGCAGACTCAGATGGCTGGAGGAAGACTAAGAAGAAACTGGATGATAACTGGCTTGAACTCTTTTTTAGGAGACATTACCACAGTACACCTGTAGTAGGGAATCTGACTCACAGGTAATCATTAAATGAATGCACAAATGTACAGATATTGAATTCTCAGATTATTATTGCCCCAGTATTCATAAACTAAATATGTGCAGTCCACCACAATATAATAGTCAAAACTGGAATGTTTCTTTACTATTGAATAAAAACACAATAATATATGATATAATACATACAGTATGTATGACCCACACAAACCTCGTAATGGTAACATCCAATGTTTTATTGGTTAGACGTGTGACGACTCCAAATAGGAGACAGCAAGGCCATCTAGTGGTTTGTATTGGAAAACAACCTGTCTGTTTTTTTCTTTGAATGCTTAAACCTGACGTAAGGGAGACGTGTATTCATTCAGAGCTAATAGAACACCTGGTGCTCATTGCCTGTTCCTCGTTAGCCCACACACAGCATGGCAACTGCCCCGAGATAGGACACTTCAAATAAAAATGTAATGGCCAAAAAGAAAAACACTTCTTAAATGTGTTTGGACGGTGTAAACAAGTGCCTTCTAATAATTATATAATAATAATTTCTCTTGTGCGTACATTATATAGTTATTATTAACCATCGGGGGCATTATGTGAGTAGCCTAGTTATCTTATTTAAAAACATGACCGAATTCTTCATTTTTGTTATTCCTGTGGCTGTGTTTAATATCGGTAGCCTACTGGTCAATCCGGTGGAACACAATCTTGTCATGAGATAAAATAACATAACATATTTGGATCAAGCAACTCCAAGAAAGGATTTATACGTAAACATAGAACCTTCTGGAAAATAACATCACCTATGCAGGCGATAAAACCTCTGATGGGATTTTGTACCAGATAGACTGGCACCTGCAGCGCAGTCGCAACTCCACTGGCAGACTCGGAGTGGAGATGCTCAGAGGCTCTCCAGAGCTCACAGAGCAGCGGCTTTATTATCACTGACGGTGCAGGCTGCACTGCACTGCTCACAGGACGAAAAATATATATTTTGCTGTAAAGGATTAAACCGCTCAATTGGATCAATCTTAATTTGTTGTGCAGGCTGCTGCAGTTGCATCCCTCTTGTGAAGCAGGAACTTGGTAACACTTTTTAACTTGGATATTTTGATACTTTGAATTACCAATGGATTTCTTAAACGATTCTTTTTCCCCCCTCGGAGACACAAATTCAACTACAACAACAGGTAGGTCAAGTAACCAGAGCCCCGTTATATAATCAAATTAATATCGTTACACACGTTGTTAAGAAACATAACTGCACGTTAATAAAACAGCAAATAAATACATAAATGGTACATTAGTTATTTTTCTCAACTTTATTTACTCATACACGATTGTAGTGTATATTCAGACTGGAGTCGATTCCATTCACAGTCTAATATGTTTGATGAAAAATATGAAATATGAATGCCTTAATCTCATCAATTTGTCACTGCGTGACATATCTAGAATGTGTACTTAATCAATACACATAATGTTAGTGATAGGAAATGGAAAAATGCACATCAAGTCACTGAGGTTCTGAAAAAATGTATTACACATTTCTGTGACTTTTTGGGTTTAAAATACAATCACATAACATATCTATGGCAACCTATTTAAGGTTTATATACAATTGCTAAGACCTCTGTCCCCATCATCTTCTCTGTTATTTCTAACATATGTGACAGAAATCTTTCCACACTGAAATTATCCAGCAGCCTAAATGCAAGGAATATATTAACTGATAGGTCCACGTCATAATCCACCGAAAAAACAAGTAATGATACTTTGCTCTTGCTAATTGTAATATCTAACATTGGAAATATAAATAACTGTATTACACACTGTACAATGCAAGTTTTCATATGCTTTATTTAACAGCTGCTCCCTCCTCTTCTTGTCTAAAGCTGTAGATGGGTCCCTTCACTGCAGCGCCATCCTCCCTGTCATCTTCGGCATCATCTGCTTTCTAGGTATCATGGGGAACTGTATTGTGATCTACACCATCATGAAGAAGACCAAGTGTCGTGCCAAGCAAACGGTTCCAGACATCTTTATCTTAAACTTATCAATTGTTGATCTCCTGTTTCTTCTTGGGATGCCATTCCTCATCCACCAGCTGCTGGGCAACGGCACCTGGCACTTTGGAGCCGCAATGTGCACGGTCATCACTGCGCTTGACTCCAATAGCCAGATTGTCAGTACTTACATCCTCACTGCAATGACTCTTGACCGTTACTTGGCTACAGTCCATCCCATCCGCTTCAACTACATCCGCACACCTTTTGTGGCATCGCTGGTCATTGGTCTTGTGTGGGCTTTGTCCTTACTCACTATCATCCCGGTGTGGATGTATGCAGGCCTGATGCCTCTCCCGGATGGCCTGGTGGCCTGTGCTCTCCTTCTACCTGACCCAGTCACTAGCATATACTGGTTTACACTTTATCAGTTCTTCTTGGCATTTGCTATACCTTTAGCCATCATCTGCCTGGTGTTCTTCAAAATCCTCCAGCACATGTCCGCCAGTGTGGCTCCACTGCCTCCAAGAAGTTTGAGGGTGCGCACCAGGAAGGTGACACGGATGGCAGTGGCCATCTGCCTAGCCTTCTTCGTCTGCTGGGCCCCTTACTACATCATTCAGCTGATCCACCTAGGAGTGAAGAAGCCAAGCGTAGCTTTCTCCTATGCCTACAACATAGCCATTAGCATGGGATACGCTAACAGTTGCATCAACCCATTCCTCTTCATTATTCTCAGTGAGACCTTCAAGAGGCAGTTTCTCAGGGCTGTACGCCCAGTAAATAGAAAGTTCCGTGTACACCCGAGCACCACAGATGGCGCCAGTGTGAGTGTGAGAATGATACCTGAAGGGGCTCACCAGGATCCACCCTCTGGGGAGATGCCACAGTCCAACGAGGCCCCACAATGAATCAAATCAAAAATAATTTCACCATGTATCACTGTGGATCTGTGCAAGTGTCAAGCACGACATACGGGATATTACCACAAGTACTTATATTTCTAAACAGTAATGTCTGCACATCAACTCCAATCACCATTTTATAAAAAGAAATTGTGTTATTTTTTTTTTGCCTGAATAAAAATGTTCTTTCCCATCATTGACAATCATGCAAAGGACAATTTCACTGATTGACATTGTTTTGTAAAAACTAACCAGCCTGTTCTTACTGGGGTTGAACACAGTTCAGTTTAGTGATTTACTTTAAAAATGGGAAGCACACAGAATAGTTAAAATGGCTTATTTGCTGAGCCCATCTATTCAAACATCATTTTGATTGACTTGAGTTTGCATTTGCAGCTAAGAAAAAGTCTGTTTAGCTGAATATATTAACACTTCTTACAATTTCATCAAATAAAAAATGGCAGGTAAACATTTATCTTATCAATTGCCCTAGCACACTGTAGATTCTCAATACAAAAGGTATGTTCTGACTGTATGCAAAGCAACATTAATCTGCATTTACTGGACATCTTTCAGCCCGTCTCTCAACAGACAGTTGGCAACACATTGATCATTTGAATTCCACATGATTATGTTATCTTCCTCCAGGCTAAATCCCCTCTGCTCTGCCTTGACCATGATGCAGTGAACTTTTAACCACTTCAACAGGGAACATTGTCCTTCAGATTGGATCATCATCAGTTCAAAACGTTTATAATGACTACACCTAAATACCAAGGTCACTTCCGGCCTGTCGTCAAAACTTCAATGCTGATTTATTGTCATTATGCAGCACATGGTTGCACAACAACATGCAGTTATAGTCTCTTTATGCCACATCAAAAAAGAAACTATGTGGTACCAAGTGGAGTAAATACTTAATTACATACTGTACATTAACACATCATTTACAACACATAAGTCACTTTTAATATTTGACATGTCTGTTGTTCAGAAACTATAATATAAAAGGTTATTCATATCAATCTGCACATTTATATTATATTACTGAGTGCATCCATGAAGATTAACAAGAAGCTGTTTGCAGACAGTGCTTTATTTGACTGAATTAATGGACATTCTTGTTCTTGTGTCCTTCTGTGGTTTTCTGACCAAACATCTTACTTTTGAAGAACAGAATAAAGAAGGAGTCTGAACCTAATGCTTGGAATCATATGTATCTAAAGACTGGAATACATTAGACATTACTTAGCAGAGAATAGTTCAACATGGAGACCATTATATAGCAACCCATTAGCAGCAGAACTGAGGTATGTTGTAGAAAGATTTTACAATGCTTTTCTCCTCTTTTGTATGATGCCTTTCAACCAGATGAAATGTCACTATAGAAACATTGCTGAGGAGGTAACATGAAATACGTAACTTCAAAATGAGCTTTTAACCAAATACATGTGTTTTGTTGTTGTTTAAAGCAAGAAACATATGAAAGACACAAATTGGTAAACAGAATTCACCTAAGGCCTACCGATGTGAAAAACAAAGCATACGTGACTTTTGGTTCTGTAACTCAATATACATTTGCTGTGGATGTTTTATGTTTTTGCTTTGCATGTCTGTTTGCTTATTTGTCTGTTACAGTATGAGGATATGCTAAACAAGTACCACCATTTGGCAAATTATAGACTAGTCACACCGTTTAAAATATATCCATCCAGCTCTTGTATTAGCTTTGATAGCTTGTTTTTGTTTGTCAGTTTCCTTCAGTAATTCCGCAAAAAACGGTCACATTGGAACAATGCTTGTAAATATGACTCACCACACTCAGCATGTGTAAAATAAGAGATTGTAGCCATCTTTATTTTATCAAACCCAAAGAGGAAGATAAATAAAATGTTGTTTTTTTCTAGTTCATCTAATAACATTCAACAGTTGTGATTCCTGCTGAGGAACCTCTTGAATAAATCAAATCAAATCAAATCAAGGTTTATTTATAAAGCACATTTAAAAGCGATTTTTGGTCGGGCCAAAATGCTGTACATGTAATAACTACAATCACATAAAAACACATTTCTATAATCACAATAAAAGACAATCAATTACAACAGATATTTAAAAAGAAAACACAGGGTTAAAGTCAGGAGTCGTGCTCCTGAATAAAATGAAGTGATGTTTTGCCAAGCTGTGACACTGCATTTTCAGTATCAATGCACTCTGAAATGTAAAGCCATACATATGCCGCATTGGTTTTAGATGAGCTGAAATGTCAAATCTAATAAAGAGTGCCACTTTGTCTCTGAACTGTTGTTAATGTTGTTATACTGATATTACGCTTATTTATATGTTGAATAATGATGGTGAAAATATACTTTATGTTGCAGAATGGTTGTGAATGTAAATATAAAATACATCGATCATGGAATATGAAGCTCAGGGTTAGTCAACCTTCTCGGGCCTGAAAGCCACTTTTTACACATTTTCTGTTTTTCTCACCTGTTGGATCCAAGGATGAGAAGCTCTGGTGTAGGTACTGTTGTTCTTCTTCGTTTATGAAGCAAAAGAGTGTAAAAAGCATAATTTAAAATCATGAGCGATTTTGCTTAAGTCATTGCAAAACAATGTGGGCCAATCTGTCTGTACTGTTGTGAGCACCGATTAATAAATCTAAACTGTAACAGAAATATCTAACATGTTTAAAATGTTCTCAATGCTTTGATAGCAGGCGTAAAAGTATCCAAAATATTCAACATAGTTTAAAGAGAAACTTGCCTGTAATACAGTGACGATTCTCTCTGACCAATCAGTGGTCTGCAATGTTTTAACTCTATCTTTAATATGGGTTTAGCTTGCTTACACCCTTTTGAAGGAGTTACAAAGAAAAAAGCCAAAAAAAACACAAGATTCTACATGAATCCAAAATAGAGCATGTCAAGTAGGGTACAAACCTACAATGAAATGAAAATGTTACCTAAGATAAACAGAAAAAGACAACCAAAATCAGCAGAACTAGGGGAGCAGGTGACCATCAAGGGAGTATTTTGTCCCCTTAAGCAAGCTGAAAGTTTGTATTTTAATAACTGTATTTTAAAAATTGTGAAAAGGTGTGTGTACTTCAAACTGAAAATGTCCGTTATCTTGCTCAGGAGCTCAGGACTCATCTTGCAGATGCCTCCTGTGATCTTATTTTAATTGGATTTTCACTCAAATCTTCCAGGTCTATTATTCAAACTCTGCAATCAAAACCAAAGCATTTTTTAAATGTGGTTTCTTTGCGATAATAAGACATAAAGAGCAAAAAGGTTGGGGCATTAATACATGAATTCGTAGGAGCCACTGGAGGTGGCATGAGTTAATTGAAAATCCTACTGCGTGATGATCTTGGGTGTGATGAGTAATAATGTACCAGTCGGCATGGGCGCCTATAGTTCAAATTAAGGTGTGGGTGCAAGGGGAGGTAAGACAGGGAATTTATTTATGTAATTACTGTAACACCTGAAAGTGCCATTTCCTGCAACATAGGGCCTAACTTCTGTCAGTTTCTCTCACTATAAATTGTATTTTGCACATAAACAGTATCATATAAAATTAAATCATAAACAGATGACACAGCATTTTGTGGCACCGACAAAGCATGGTAAACAAGACAGGGTTTGTATTTCAAGAGGGGTTTGGTTTGTTGCCGACATCACAGTTGACACGGACAGTCCACCCTGGTTTAACTCATGCCAAGAGATACATTGGATTGAGTCCAGAGAAAATAAATTGAGGTTAGTTTTCTATCATCACGTCCAAGTGGAGGCATGGCATCAATTCAATATACCTGAGTGAAAAACGTTTTTCTTTATCCCACAAGGTCATTTCTCAAGTGTTTCTGGGAGAAAGAAGGATTTGGTTTCCAGTTTATCAAGATGTATTTGCTGCTGCTGTGCTGACAATATTGTTTATAGTGGTTTATAAATATTTTCAAATCCAGAATGATCTATCGTTTTCAATGTCAAGTCGATAGAAAAAGTAAACCACAGAGAAACCTTTTTTACTGTACAATTATTGCATTATAGAATTAACTTTAGTATTTTTCAGTGGGCCAACAGATTCTCAATTGACCAACCAGTTTTAGAAAGGGACTTATTGTTTCTTTAAACAACCTCTAAAACATGCCAAAATCAGAAAGAATTATCTGACGCTTTGGCAACACAATTTACTGCCAAATCTGCCTTCAGACAGAGGCGCCTGGAGCAAACCCATGGCCCGAACAAAGTGACACAGCAGTCACAGCAGTGTGTGCTACCTGTGGCAGGAGCACAGAGCAAAGGCACAAACCTGCCTCCAGTCAACATCATCGCAGATATTGACCCAAAGCAAATGTGAAATCCCTTCAACCCCGACACAAACACCCACAATTTATTTTTATTTTGTATTCATCTATTCAATTGTCATACATGAACAATCATACATTTGACATACAACAGACAAAGTCCAGGGGCAGACATACAAAGCAACAAGACATTACATACAGTAAATAAAGAAAAAATTAAAAAAGGAAAGAAAATACATTTTGATACTTGATAAATATCAAATTAGTTTGATTGCCTTCTTATTCCTAATGTTTTAAATAGTGCTAATATACTGTTTAAATTCTTGATTGAAATGTACTGTACAAAATGTGGTTTGGAGTCAGCCCATTTCTTTTTATGGATAAGAAATGTCCCTAAAAATACAATTAACTGCACAAAAAAAACAAAATCTGACACAAAAACACAATATGTAACACATTTATACCATTGATCCGATGCACAATCGTTTGAGTGCTGCTGTAGCAATAGTTATGGGCGTATAGTGAACCATGCGTGTTGAGGCTACTTGAACAGTATATTGCACTCAATCTTTACTTTACTGTAAAGGGTTAGGGTTAGGGTTCTCCCCACAGAACAAGGTGTTTTAGAAATATATTTTAGCTGGTAGAGATGTTAATACCAAATGTCACATAATGACTAATGGTTGCAGCAGAATATGCAGTACAAGTATGGGATGTCATTAGGTGGGAGAATGATTTTCTCGGTAAACAATCTGCAAATAAAGATGTACCATAAACACCT